GCTCAGTCTCGTTAGCGAAGTGGCCCCAGAGCTGCCCGGTGACAGGAGGTGGCTCTGAGTGAGGGCCCCAGGGGGTCCCAGGTGGACATGCTCAGCCATATCCTCAGGGCAGGCACCATCCATCCTCCGGCCCGTGTCCACCGAGTGCCAGCCCCCAGAGCACCCCGGCAGCCCAGTGCCCTCCAGGCCCCGCCGGGAGCAGAGCCACCCCCCCGGCCAGGGCACTTCTGGGAGCCAGCACCACGTCTGGGCAGGACTGCGGAAACTTTGATTATTTCTGTGACAAGAGGAGATCGGCTCTCCCAGCTTCCAGAGATGCTCCTAATTGGGTTTGCTGGCCGGTGCTTCCGACAGATGCCCACTCGGAAACCTTGCCCAGTTTTTAGCTGATTTTCCTTCATTCAGGGGAGAAGAGCAGGCGACTCGTTTGAGTCCGATTCAGGGGAGCAGAAGGGACCGCGTCCCCGCGTCCCCCACCTGGTCCCACGCTGACACCTCCTCACGCGTCCTGATCCCGTCGGCGGTCTGAGCAGTGAGGACTCGGCTGCCTCCACCGTGTCTCCCGGTCTGCCCTGTGCAGCTGTCTCTGTCTCTCTGCGTGTCTCTCAGTCTCTGTCTGTCTCTCTCTGTGTCTCCGAATCTCTCTGTGGTTTTCTCTATTTCTCTCTTTCTGTCTCCGTCTCTCCATCTCTGTCCAACTCTTTGTCTCTGTCTGTGTCTCTCTTGTCTCTCCCTCTCTGTCTCTGTCTCTCTCTCTCTGTCTCTCCCTGTCTGTCTGTCCCTATCTCTGTCTGCCTCTCCCTCTGTGTGTCTCTCCCTCTGTGGCCTCTCATCCTCAGCTGCTGGAGTCCGAGACACCTGATGTCCCCTGCTTCCTGAGGGGTGCTGGACACCCCAGGAGAGTCTGTAGCTGAGGAGAAAGATTTCTGTGGGTTCCTAACTACCAGCCGACGTCCTTTCTGAGGAAGAACACTGATGGCTGATACCTGCACAATGAACCCCCAGCAACCTACACAAACCACCTCTCCGATGGGAGCGGACCAGCCTGGCCCACAGACAGTCCCGGGACGTGCCCTTTGCTGGGCTCACATCGCGTGTTCTCCCGACAGAGTTAAACTAACGCTGGGGGAAATGTCTGAATTGTACAGACATTCAGGGGACAGCACACGCTAGCTGGAACGACATGTGTGTGAGCTAATTCTCACGTAGAGTCAGGATTTGGGAACCTGCCTCGAAGCTGGGAGTTCTGTCGTTAGCAACTGTAACCGACACCAGACACAAAACGCGTCTGAGGCCGCCTAGCACTCCTGGAGCCAAATTAAGCAGAGACAGGATTGAATCATATATGAGCGTTTGTCCCAATGACGGCAGCAGTGTGGGGAGAGCCGTAGGTCATCCTAAAATTCTGCTCTGCCCCCTTGCCAGTTGGCTGATTATATACGGGTGAGGGGGAAGAGAGCTGTAGCTGTGGGTGTAACACGGAGGGGAGGGTCTGCAGCCCCACCTTCAGGGGCTCAAAGTCCGAAAACAAGGTGGCTCGTCTTCCGTGATGTTACAAACAGCTCAGCCCACTCCTGGGACCGGAGAAAGGCCGGCATTCCTGAGGCAAACTCCTGGAGGGGTCGGGGTCCAGGCACAGCAACTAAGTTCAAGTGTTTCCTGTCCGTGGTCTGTTCTCAAAATGTGTTTCTTTTCTGACAATGGACCCACCCAGGTGCAGAGGTGTCTTGATCTTTTCACAGCCTAGTTTTATCCTCCGGTTTCTCAGGGTCTGTAAGAAAACCTTTTATCTATAGTCAGTAAGGTGAATAATCAGACAACCGTGGTTCTATTCTTATTATGTGCCTTCCCCCCTTCACAACCAGTTTGAATCTGCACCCAGAGCCTTGTGCCAATGTCCCCACAAAGTGCTGCACGAGGACATCGGCTCTTTAAGAAAACAAGGTGGGGGAGATTTTCCTTTTCTTTTTAAAAATAGACCCTTAGAGGCTACCGAGAGCCACGGGCTGCAGGGGCTGCTGGGAGAAAACAGCATTTAAATCTGAGGACTCAGGAGCTCCGAGGCCACAGAAAGCTGATGACAAAGGTGTTTTTCTTTTTTAATCCTCATCTGAGGATATTTTTCCATTTATCATCAGAGTGGGAGGGGGAGAGAGAGAGAGAGAGAAACTTTGGTGTGAGAAAGACACATTGACTGGCTGCCTCCTGCACGACCCGACCAGGGCTGGGGGTGAACGGCAACCGAGGCACGTGCCCTTGGCCGGAATCAAACCTGCGACTCATGGGTCCGCGGGCCGATGCTCTAACTGTTGAGCCCAACCGGCCAGGACGACAAAGGTGTTTTGATGGTGTCAACCGAAGGCTCGCTCTCCTCCTGGTGACTCCCGTTAGTAAGCTGAACCCCTTCAGTTGGCTGCTCCAAAGAAGCAGACCTTGGAGCTGAGAGGTCAGGACCGCCTCCTGTTCCAAAGGGCAGGAAAGAGGAGGTCAGGGTTTTTAAGAGCCAAAATCAAGTCTCAGAGCTAAAAACCCACAGCGATGCAGGAAATCCAAGTTCTACTGCCTGCCTGTCTTTTCGTTTGCTCCAAACAGCACCAATGGGCACCCTAAGTGGGGATCGGACCCACCTCCGTTTGGTGTACAGGACGATGCTCCAACCAACTGAGCCACACTTGTTGGGGAACAAGGTTCCTTTTTTGAGACATAAACAAGCTCATTCTAAAATTTGTATGGAGAGGCACAGGACCTAGAATAGCTAAACTAATACTGAAAAAGAAGAAGAAAGTGGGAAAAATTAGTCTAGCTGATGTTATGGCTCATCGTGTAGGAGAGTGGGCATTTGCGGAGGGAAAGAAACGCAGTTCAATGGAACTGAAGTCAGCACGCAACACAGACCCACACAAACACGCCCCGGGGACTATGACACCTGGCGAGCGAGTCAGCGGGGAACCGATGGTCTTTTCAACAGGGGGTGCAGGAGCAATGGGGCCCTGCAGGCAAAGAGTGAACCTGGACCTAAACGGCACACGAAATTTATGCAAAATTAACTATAAACGAACCACAGATTTAAGTATAAAACTATCAGAAAAAACAAAGGAGACCATGGTTGGGACCTAGGGCCAGACAAAGACACCAGAGGAAGTTCATCCTGGAGCTCATCAAAACAAACCTTCTGCTCCGTGGGAGGGGGAACAGGGGAGCTCGGACAGCCACTGCAAATCGCATCTCTGACAAAGAACTGCAGACAGAACCCGCAGAATCAATTCAGCATTAAAAACAAACCATCCAACCAGAAAGCAGGTAGCAGACATGAGCAGACGTTTCTCTGACGTGGGCACGCATCCTTCGTCACCGGGAAAATGCAAGTCGCAACCCCGGTGAGTTGTCGCCACACACCTGTGAGAACGGCTGAAGGAAAAACCAGCGACAGCCAAGCGCTGGAGAGGGCGCAGAAAAGATGGGTCACCCGTACTGCTGAGGGGCAGTAAACGCAAATGGTATTAAAGATCCTTATAAAACCAAACAGGGCAATGATCACAGGACCCAGCAACTGTACTCTTGGGTATTTACCCCAGAGAAACGAGACAGTATGTACACACAGACACCTGTTCACAAGCGTTTGCACAGCTTTGTTCACAGGAGTCGAAAACTGGAAGTGACCCGAACGTCTGCCAGTGAGCGAACAGTTAAGCTGTGGTTACGATGGAATATTACTCAGCAGTGAACAGGAGCAAACTCCCGACACCAGCATTTGTGATGGGCTCAAGGGAATGGACAATCTCAAAAGGTAACATATTGCTACACGGTAATTCCACGTATGCAGCATTCTAGAAATGGCAAGATCATGGCTAGAAAACAGAGTAGTCACTGATTGGACGGGGGGCAAGGATGAGGGCAAGGGAGCTGGTCGCATCAGTTTCTTCACTCTCGTGGTGCACATGCACACCTACACATGTGATAACATTACACAGAACCACCGCCACACGTGTAAGAGTGCGTGTAAAACGGGGGAAATCCACATGACGTCAGTGGGTTGTATCAACGTTGAGTTTCTGGTTGTGATATTGAACTAGAGTCCTGCAAGATGTTACCACTGGGTGAAGGGTAAACAGACCTCTCCATTCTTCCTTTCCTTTCTTTTCTTTAATCCTCACCCAGAGATATATACCCTGACGGGGAATCGAACCTGCCACCTTTTGGTGTATGGGACGACGCTCCAACCAACAGAGTCAGAGCTCTCTAAATGGTTTCTTACAACTGCACTTTAATCTACAATTACCTCACAATAAAACGTGCAGCAAGAAAACCAACCCGAGATGGTTTGACTGGTGCGATCCACCCAACTTTGAAGCAACAGTCAGTGCCCACACTGTCCGGGTTCAGAGAACACAGAAGCAGCCATAGCTACCTTACTCATTTGACACGGCGAGCGGGGTTCGGAGTAAATCACAGAGCAGGCTAATAAAAGAGGAAAGGTAAAGAGTAGGCATGTATAGGCCCATCTCATCGATGAGCATAAATACAAAAATCCTAAATAGATTGTCTCATCCAATCCCACAGAGAATACTAAATAACCTATTGCGAGGGAGCTGGGCTTATCAGGAATGCAAGGAGGGTTTGACATCAGATCAGGCTTGGCAGCAACTCAGCACAGCAGACGGGGTGCACACACGCAGCCAGGTACCAGGCTGAGCCCTCATGCACCACCATCGCTTAGATGCTTTATTCACAGACGTTGTGGAGGTAACTGTTCCCACAGAGGCACTGTTCTACGGGGGCAGAATGTTCCCCCTTCCTTTTGGGTAGCGCTTCGCCTCATGAACTCGGAATCCTGACGGTCCTAAACCCCACGTTCTGCTCAGAGGGGAACCCGAGGGTCTTCCATGCTGGTCTCATTGTGGACACAGAACAGGTGGTTCGTTGTTGAGGTCTGTCAAGTTCCCCCCTAAAAGCCCTGCTGGAGATTTGGCCCCTGGTGGCTGGGTTCGCCCAGGAGAGCCTCAGACCACATCGTGGTGCCCACTGGCCCTCTGAGGTTCCGGGGAGACAAAGGGGCTCATCCAGGCCAGGGAGGCCGGGTGGCCCAAGACGTCCTTCAAGTTCATCCACACGGAGCTGCAGGTCGTCCCGCCGCTGCCCCGTCGGCTCTGGTCCGTGCAGATGGAGTGCATCTGGACGGCGAACATCAGGGTGGCGAAAAGGAAGCCCTCCAGGGCCACGAAGAAGAGGAAGACGCGCGGGGCGCGGGGCCGCGGCGGGGCGTGCGGGTCCCACAGGCCCTGCGCGTAGGCCCGCAGCGCCGGCACCGCGAGCAGCAGCAGCACGTGCAGCGCGGCCAGCGCCGTGTACAGCGTGAACAGCACGAAGTACTTCCGGTTGTCCTCGCCCACGCAGTTGTTCACCCAGGGGCAGTGGTGGTCGGCCCGGCGGATGCAGCGGCCGCACACGAAGCAGTGGTGCGCGAGGGGCTGCGGGACGGCGCCGCACTGCGGGCAGCGGGGCGTGACGCCCAGGCTGGACTCGGAGCCCTCGGGCAGGGCGCCGGGGTCGGTGAGCATGGTCCGCAGGTGCGCCGCCAGCGCCAGGAAGGCCAGCAGGTGGGAGAGCGCGCCGTGGGCCCAGCCGTAGGCCGCGTCCTGCGCCGGCCACAGCTGCTCCACCAGCAGCAGCCCCGCGCCGCTCAGCACCAGCAGCCACGTGCTCACGGCGCACGCAATGCCCGGGACGTCGCGCACGAACCACATGCGCGGGCGGGCTGCTCCGGGGCCTGGTGCGTGGGGGCGCGCGTGGACGTCGCGCTGGGACGGAGGGGCGGGGCCGGGTCCCTGCGCGTTTCCCGCGCCCCGCCTGCCGCGCCCTCCTGCCCCGCCTGCCCGGCCGGCCGGAGACCCGCCTCCGCGCAGGGTTCTAGAACGTGCGCTCCCGCGGGATTTGTGAGCACAGAAAGGGAGGCGTCGCTTCACCCCGGTGGGCCGCCCCCCCTCCCCCGCAACAGGCATCTCTTCTTGGTGGGTGGGCCGGACGTGGACTGTGCGCCCTGAGCGCAGTTCTGTGCTCTCATGACCTACTGCAGAAGCACACATGTGTGCACACACGCCATGCACACGCAGCGCGCACACACGCCATGCACACGCAGCGCGCACACACGCCATCACACGCAGCGCGCACACACGCCATCACACGCAGCGCGCACACGCCATGCACACGCAGCACGCACACACGCCATGCACACGCAGCACGCACACACGCCATGCACACGCAGCGCGCACACACAGGCACGCACCCCGCTCCCCCCAGGCATGCACGATGAGTCCTGCTGATCTCCAAACACGTTTTTGGAGAAAGAATGGGTCTCCGCAGGATTCGGGGAGCACGTTACAACCCGTTCCCAGCTGAGACCGAGTCCCGTGGCCGGCTGAAGGCGGCGGCTGAGTACTGTTGAGTGATCTCAGGGACTGCCACTGAGGCAGGCTCCGAAAGACGCGGGACGCGAGGGCAGAGCTCGTGGGTTTGCAGGGGACGGGCGTCCGGTCTCCCGAGAGGCTGCTCCCGCACCTCCTCACAGCCTCGGTCCTGCGCTCCGGGCCAGAGGCTGCACAGCGGGTGCGGGCGGGTGCGGGCGGCCGGCAGGAATGGACGGCCTTCCCGCCGCAATAGCGTGACCCGACCCGCGCAGGGACTGGCCACGTGCCGTGCGAGGTGCGCGGGCGCCGCACGCAGGCTGGAAGCAGGTCGGGCGCAGGAGCGGCCGGCCTCCCCTTCCTCCCACCACCTCTCCAGCCCTTGGCGGGGTCCTTGTCCGCCCCTGGTCCTCGTCCCTGCCCCGCTGTCCCTGCGCGTGGTCTTGGAGGCGCGGTGGTGGGTGCCCGGCCGCTCTGGTCCTCCCGTGGGGTCTGCTGACCACGGCGCTGAGGGTTGTTCCTGGGCCACGTCAAGGGTCATGTTTGACCTGCGCGGGACTAACCTTCGGTTCCTGTCCGTGTGTTGGGAACACAGGATTTTAAAAAAAGATCTTTAAATTGATTGGAGAGAGAGAGGAAGGGAGAGAGAGAGAAACATGGATAAGTGAAATGTCAATCAGCCGCCTCCTGCACACCCCCCAGTGGGGATTGAGCTCGACTGACCGGGAATCGAACTGGCAACCTTTTGGTGCAGGGTGGATGCCCAACCACCGAGCCCCGCCAGCCAGGGTGGGCACACGGTGGGCAGGGTAGGGTGTGAGAGGGCAGGGGCTGGGCATGGCGTGCCAGGGCGGCCAGGAGGGCGGGCACTGTGCATAGGTGTGTGTGCGCGCGCAGGAGAAGGAAGTTGTTTGTGTGCTCACACATGGCCTCAGCTGTATCTCGGCAGGATGAGCGCCACCAAGTGAGCAGGTTGGGTCAGGGTTGGGGTCACATGATGGCAAGATCAGCCTCCTTCCCTGCACCTTGACCTGAGGGCCTGTCGTCCATCCCCCTCCCCCTGCATCCCCTCCCGCACCCCAGGGCCCCTCCTCCAGCCTCGGACCCGCCGGCCCCCCTTCCACAGCTGCAGTTCATGGAGGTCGAGTTTCTGGCCTGTCAGGGGAGCTCGTGCCCCCCAGAAAGGCACAGGGTCCTGTGATAAGGAAATGTCTTAGCTCACTTAACCCTGTGTGTCCCACACGTGTGCCACCACAGGTTTGCTTTCCGGGCAGCTCAGGGACCAGGGTGGGGACAGTGCTGGTCTGGCTTCCCCGAACTGACCGTTGTCCCGGCACCCTGGGGTGGGCACCGTGCAGGTCAAGCCGCCCCTGCCTGGCACCAAGAAGCAGTGAGAACAAACCGGGTTGCCCCCGGGGCCCTACCTGCAGACCCGACAGGCCCGGCCCTCGCTCGTCAGGATGGCTGACCCTGCAGGATCGGCCGTGTCAGCCAGCACCATCCACTTTCGGCCACGACGAGGAGCAACCTATCAGGTCGGCCTCTGAGCAGGTCATGAACATTCCGCACACGGTTACTGACCCCCTGGCGAGAGCCGGGAGCCAGACAGGGTGCCAGGCGGGGCTGCCTCCAGAGCCCTGGCTGGTGTCCACCTGGTGCCTGCAGCTCTGTCCTCCTCCACCAGTCAGCTCTTTCTCTGGGGCCAGGCTGGCCCTGTTGGACGGTGCCTGAGCCTCGGTTTCCTGCCAGGCTTCATGCCCCCGCACTCGGGAGGCACCCTCTGAGGGCTGGATGCAGGGTCTCTGACGATTTGACACCTTGTTGGCTCTGCAGCCCGGCCCGGCCTCAGCTCCTGCGCGCTGCAGGCCTTGTGCTCAGTGCTCACGCATCCTGGGCCAGCCCGGCGAGGGGGTGCGGGAGGGAGAGCAGCTGCCGTTCTCTCCGGATCACTGGCTCCCTCCTCCCCGCGCTAACAGGCCGGTGCTGCCCAGTCCAGTTCAATGCATCAGTTTAATCAGACGTGGCAGCTGTCGGCGCCCGGACCCGGGGACAGCTTGCAACCCGAATGGTCTGATCCATCCAAGATATCTCAATGCTGTCAGTGGGCACCGGGGCCCAGCCCACCGCCAGCGGCAAAGCCCTGTTCCAGGCTCCCGGACCCGTGGGCTCGACGGGCTCCGTGCAGTGTGGACAGGGCCCTCTGGACAGGAGATGCTTGCGGTCAAGAAAGGGAGATGGGGCCCTGACCTCTGTGAATTCATAGACATCAAATGAGACATCAGCACGGGGCGTGGGGGTGTCTATACGAGGAGGGGGTGTCTATACAGGGGACAGTTGAAGGAGTCGTAGATCCGAACGGCCCAGCGGACTGCACCAGCCGGCCCCTGGGTCCTGGATGAACAAGGCCCTCGCGGGGCTTGGAGTCTGGGAGGGGGACAGGGCGTGTCGAGGGTCGGCCTCCAAGGAGGGCCTCTGTGGGCAGCACCAGAGGCAGAGGCCCTGCGCTGGGCCAAGGCAGCGGGATGGAACGGGGGTGGAAACCCACTCCCTGACCCGCTCCGGGTCCTGGGGTACTCAGGAAGCGACACGGTCCCGTCCGAGGGTCAGGAAGGCCACCCTGACCAGAGAGCGCACAGGAGGTGGGCGCCAGAGGCCCCCTTCTGGAGAGAGGCCATGGTGACGGGGAGGATGACCGGCACTTGGTGCTGTTTGCTTGGTTGGACATTTTGGACGGAACGGTTCTCAGACCTGCACGCTTCCTCACGGGTGCTCTGCTGAAGCAGCGCTCGGCCGGCCGCCGGCGATAGAGGCCGCAGCCGGGTTCCTCCCGACCAGCACCTCCTTAGATCTCAGGGTGCTGGCCCACAGAGGGACTCCCAGACGTGGGTCCACACCGTGCCCCGTGCCCACCCCTGGCACTCACCTGTTTCCTGCCCGCCCCGAGCTGCACCTGCCCCGCCCCCGCTCTCACTGTGAAGTCTCTGATGTGGACCCAGGACCACAGGTGGCCTTTCTGCTTTGTCTGTCGGCTGACCCCAAAAGCTGAGAACAGAGAGTGTCTACTCATGGAGACCAGGCTGGGAACGTTCCCCGAGGTCAAGCCGTGCAGGGGTGGTGACCGACCTGCACCTCCGCCTGGGGAGGTGACCGACCTGCACCTCCGCCTGGGGAGGTGACCGACCTGCACCTCCGCCTGGGGAGGTGACCGACCTGCACCTCCGCCTGGGGAGGTGACCGACCTGCACCTCCGCCTGGGGAGGTGACCGACCTGCACCTCCGCCTGGGGAGGTGACCGACCTGCACCTCCGCCTGGGGAGGTGACCGACGTGTACTTCGATGTGTTAATTTAACAGAAATCAAGATACTACTGATTTGACTTGTCTCTTCCAAAAAGACTTCTCATCTGGAATCTCCTAAAGATCTGCCGTAGCCCCTTTTTTTCAAACACATAATGGGGCACTGGTGGGTTTTCACGAGAAACTGTGCCTGATCCCACGCACGCTCCGTGTTCCATCAGCAGGGTGGGCAGCGGGCTCCGTGAACAGTGGGCACGGTCTCTAAGGTGCTCCTTTTCTTGGCCACAGACGTGAAGAAAATGGTGTCCTCCTGATTCCTGGGGGCGCGGTTGGGGAGAAGCTCTCAGGGCCCTTCCCCCGCTGGCCCTACCTGCTCCCCTGCCCGCTGCCCCCACCCTGGATCGTTTGTATTCATCTGCCCCGGAGGGTGCGGCCGGGGGGCCGGGCTCGTCTCCTCCCTGCCTCTCCTGGGACAGTGCTGGGCTCACGGCTCAATCGGTGCTGGGGGCATGGGTGGCGGGTGCGGGGTCTCCTCCCCGAGCGATGTTTGGTCATGAGATGTTACCTGCGTCAGGGCGCTCCGTCCAGAAAGCCCCCTGTCCTGATTCTTACTCCTTCCCGCTGCAATGTGTCAAGACGGAGCCTCCTGGGACTCCTTTGGGGTGCTTTTCAGGGACCTTAACTAGTGCTCGGATGGCCATATGCAGCGCTGATGACTGTTACCTCTGAGTGGGGTCGTGCGCCCCCGTCCCCGCTGCCGTCATTTCACACGGTCCCAGCGCCGTGTTTGATTGTGGTGGGGGAAGCCCTTCCCCGCTAATTTTTTCAATGTCCTGTTACCTAGGCTCACATTTTTTCGGATGCAAATGCGTTCCTGAGTGGAGCTACCTTGGAGTAGAGGTGACGGGCTCCCTTCGAGCCCGTGGGTGCTTCTGCGTCACGGGGCCCGGGGCTTCTCACGGGGAGGGGTCCGGTTTCGCTTTAAACCACTCAGCAGGGAAACAGCTTTGCACCAGATGTTGTCTGATTCCTCCTGGGACCCGAGGT